CCCCCCCATCCCCCCCTGTGATTTGCAGACGCCACTGCAGTGGTATTGTTCACGTCTAACTGAATATGTGCATTAAATATGTATTTGCATAATGACAGCAGCGCCAAGAAAGGGGCTTTCAACTCAAGTTAATTGATATGTATCTCACATTTCTCAACTGCCTATAGCTATCTGCCACCATTTCTGTTGTTACCGCCATCGTATACCGCATACAAGGTAACCGCACTACTGTTACGGGCCTGCGGATATGCATAAAGTATTGGCGACAACAAGGCTGATTGAACTGAGACGTCACAAGTGACCCGGTATGGATAGTCGATATCATGAATACATGTCGAATATAGAACCTCTCATTACTTTTAACTGTATGAAACCAATTCGAAACCACGTTGGTCTGGTATTTTATGTTACATTACGTGTCGTCCGTGGTGTATATAGAACAATTGCCGTTGATTTCCGAACAGGAAGTAGCTTTAGTAAAAGTGAGGAGTGGGGCAAGCTTGCCAGGTTGAATTTGGAAGGGATCTAGACAGCTGGACAAGATTCGAAGAGGATGGAGAATACTTGCAGCGATATCATTCGTAAGTTAATTGACTGTGTTGACCATTTCATTATACCCAAAGGGAAAATCTCAAAACAAACCAATCAGAAAATGAGTTATATGACAAACGATACAATGTATATGTATATGCCGATTATGGTGAATGCCTGTTCGGTAACTGGATAAGTGTAGCAGTTTTTCGTAAACTCTCCGCTTTATATTGTTGTCGATTCACTGACATGCTTACATTTAATATGAATAGGCGAAGCCTTAAAAGAGCGAAGCTTTTGTTGATCTCTGATACAGCTTTTAAAATGAGGCAAGATAAAATGTATTTAAACTCGGCTAGTCGAGTGATAACAATAAAACATAAACTCTAATGAGATTAAGACCGACACAACAATAGGGGAGATCGGGGCAAATTCGGCCCACTTTTATTAAAGTCCGTTCTGGAAAGTATGGCAGCACGTCCGTTTTTGAACATTATTTATTTTTTACCTGTCGGCATTCGGGTAAGTTCGGCCCCATGGGAATCAGCTTAATTATGACGTTATAAAGCATGCAACGTCAGATTTTACCGCCAACTTTTCGGCTTTTTATGTGTTACATGGGCCGAACATGCCACGGTATCATTGGCTGAAACAGTCCGGGCCCAAATTGATATTTCAATAAATTCAGTGTGTTACACCTTTGACCGTAATTTATTTTAGCGAAAGTTCGCATCACTAGAAGCGAGATCATGATTTTCTTTCTCAAAAGTAATTTGTTAAGTAAATTTACATTAGAGTTTTTCTTGCCATTTTTCCATGTGAATGTATAGCCAACTTAACTGCTAAGATCTTTAAATATTAGCTCAAAAACAAAAATATCATGGGTGGCCCAACTTTCCCCGGTCTCCCACATGTAGATTTTTTGCATCGTTGATGATTGGTCAAAATGTATACACTATTTATTTTTTGCATCAATGACGCCATTTTCAAAGCTAAAGCAGATAGTTGTTCTTGTTCGTAACGTATATGATGGTTCGGTCGGCGCAGTGGATAGCGCGCTCGTCTTCACCAAGATGGCCGGATTCAATCACGGTTGCCTGCCCGACCACGCGGGTTTTCTCCATATACTCCGGCTTCCTCCCACATTAAGAATTAAATCCTCTACGTGCTTCCGTGATGTCACAAAAAGAATGATTCAAATAAAGTGGGAAAAACTGTTTGGTAATTGTTATAGAAAAAAGTGCATATTAAATATTTGACCATAATTTATTATGTCTATAAAAGTAAATGTATAGATTTGTTAGTTAAAAAAATGAAATTAAAAAACGGACAACATTGCAATAATTTGATGTAGAATTGAGATTGTCGTTATATCGATGTTTATCCTGAAACACTGGATTGAATTTAAAATTTTGTAACTGTCACTGAGGTTTAACATGTAAAGATGTCAAATACAATTAAACAGTTTCTGTCTGTAACTATAGTTATAAGTTATACGTTGCTGAAAAAGGGCGTTGATTTCGACATAAATGAATTATCCATTGTTTCTTTTATGAGTAGTGATGCATATATAAATTATGTAAAGACTATAACCGGACTTTCAAAAATGTTAATTATTTCGTTCATATCGTCAATAAATGGAAATAAAAAGCTGATGAAATTTTAGATGATGAAAATTAAATGTACACGTTTACCTATTGGTTTAATGCGGCTCTTTTTGAAAATATCTCCCGGTAGAAATATTATCAGAACCTGGTTGCTAACAAAAAGGATTTTACTTTTTGTGCCTGTGGCAAAAACTGAAATTAAAAAGTCATAAAGCAACGACAAAGAGATAAATGCAACGGCCATCAGTTCCAAGATTTTCCGGTTATTTTTTATCCTTCCGGAAATAACCGATGAAGCCAGATGGAGTGTGGCGTGATTGTGACGTCATCGTATGATAATCTTTGAACGACGTTTCATGCCAGTATCAAAATTTATGTGGTAGAATTTTTTCACACAGAATGTATATTAGTATTATCTAAATAAACAAGTAATAAAAATGGGTATTGTTTTCACTATATGAAGATGTTCATGTATGGGGTGAAACTCAATATTGTCTTTGCTTCAAGGATACATATCCGGTTTCCCCAGTGGAGGGCTAATTCCGGACGAAAAAAGTTCAAGGGCAAGAAGCAACTCTGTTTACGCACGCATGTGTTACCATTAAAGAGCTTCGCTCTTATTAATAATTATTAATCTCTTTATTGTCTCCAAAGATGAAGATTACAAAGTAATGTGGAATATATATACAAAGCATTTGGTACATATATACACGATTACATAATATGCATAACATAAATATACACTTTATATATTGGGATGTGTATATAAAGTGTAAAATAATAGAATATTTTAAAGTATACCTAAAATGTTTCAATATACAAATTGTATATTGATTTGCCAAGTAAATTATAATAAATTGTGTTGATACGTGGTACGTAATACTGATACATGACTATGTACCGACATCGATGAACCGTTGTATTTGTAAATACATGCAATACAGACATTTATTGTAACATACAAACTATAAACGCGGAGGATACATTTGTGGCTCTGGATCACCCAAGTGTCGGGGATATCTCAACCTGCGAGGTGTTACGGGCCCACACATGTATACTCCCATGCATCTTAATATGTAGAATAGTTCATATAGTATCTCACGTGATATATTTTGCTAAGTGCACATAACTTATACAAAGTTCTTCATTAGATATGTATGTATTTAACTTTTAATCATAACTATTATATACAGTAAGTATAATATAGTTTACACATCTTGTACACATAAATGATGGATTTTATCCTGAAATCATTCAACTCTTATTCAATAATTTTATAGGTTATATTTCCTCCAATCATTATGTGTAATATCCCAAGATCTGAGAGTGTAAATAGACACTAAACAGTATATCTTTGATATTTATTATACAGCACCATAGTTGGTCCCTCAACTCGGAAGCATAAGAACACTGTAGCACTAGATGTGTCATGGGGTCTTGATATGAAAACCCACATTTATGACATAATTCCATGGTAGTCAAGCTACGGATGGTTACAACTATTGTCATTATATATTGTATATATTCTCTGTGGATTGAGGAAATCGAAGCGCTAGCTTCCATGAAGTATTAGGTTTGAGTTGGTTATGTATTTCTCGAACCCTTGTTAAATCATTATCAACTTTCATATGTTCCTTTAGATTGTGTCCCTCATATTTCATTACAGAATTATATACTGTGGTTTTCCAATCACTTTTCTTTCGAAGGATTCCAGTTTCAACAAAAGTATCTAGATTTTGATGCAACGAATACTTTTTTAATATTTTGACTATGTCGGGGATAAATCCGTTCTGGTACGGTCTACCTAGTCGAAACAAAAAGAGTCTGGTAATAAAAACTTTATAAACAAGAGACATTGGTTTCATTCTACACAATCTTCCCAAAAATAATAATTTTCTAATGTCAACATATGCCTCAATAGAGGTCCAATCAAGTAATGCTGTACACATGTCTGTTTTGGTTCTTTTTTCGAACCCTTGGATAGATTTAACAATAAAATGTTGTGCTCTTTCTAACATTATTATTTCTGTTTTTGTCAATTGCCAAAGGTTGCACCCCTATAAGGCGGATGGATAAACTTCAATTTTGATAAGCTTCGCTACTGTTAAAGGGTTGAGAGCACAAGGATGTGCACCGGAACGAACAAGGTACATCGTACCCGATCTTAACCTATTACATGTACGTGTTGTTCTCTCAAAAGAGTTCTGTTTAGAGTTTAATGCAATACCAACATGTGTAATGCCGTCAGTCTGTGGCATAATAAACAATTGTAGAGATAAAGATCTTTATACATAGTACAAGTTCTACAACATATTGATATCATTTTCTGAAGACTTTTAAGACTCGTACTCACCATACAAATGTCATCTGCCTGTGTAGGAACATTAACATTTAAATCAACAATTACTGCACCAAATCAAAATTCTCTATTTCATTTAATAAATCGTTAATAAATACTAAATACATTTCTGCAGACAACGCCCCTCCCAGTAATATTCCACGTTCCATTATAAGCATGGAGGACTTTATTCCATTTAATAAAACACAACTTTCAACATTTGTATAAATGCATTTTAGTAAAATCCACGTCTTGGCGTATAGACACAATTAATTAACTTTGTACAATAATCCAGCGTGCCACACAGTGTCAAACGCTTTGTAACTACATGTATCTAAGAAAGCAACGTCGACGTTGGAACCGTATTCAATATTATGACTAATGCATTCTTGAAGACTGAATGATGTGCATAAACTACACAAATTCTTTTGATAAGCAGACTGTTGTCTATTTGGAAATAAACGGGAATTTAAAACTCGTTGAATCCTTTGTGATAAAACCATTTCGAACATTTTAAATAATACAGGTAATAACGTAATCCCCCTGTAGCTATTGGGGTCTTCTTTAATAAATATATGTACGGTGTACAAACTGAGTACGGAAGCGTATAGTTGCCATTAGACATAGACTTAACTGAGGGACATTGAGCTGTATTGTGCTTTTAAAATTTTGAGCCCGTTTTCTTAATACATGTATATAGAAAATATTATTTGTTCGCGATCGCGAAATTTGCAGTTGCGTAGTGTACCTTAAGGATGGTTTATTATATCAAACACAGCTATCCGGAACATCTGGAATATGATTTTCTGTATAATGTCATCTATTACAATGTCTTGTATCGTAGATAATGTGAAATATATTTAGTCATCGCATCTCAAATTTTGTTCTATAAATAGAAGTCGAGGAGAGGGCTGATATAGGCTATGCCTGTTGCCCAATCCGAATAGTTGAAATGAAATGTGATATATAAGTTATACATATATATATATACATTTTTATCAACACCATAAGTTTGATAAATTAGAAAAAATGTATGATCCCGTCAGGTACTTTCTAATGAACTCTTAAGTTAATGGTAAGGTATACAGTAGGAAATCGTTAAAATTCGCCGTAATGAGTGCTTATTTTTCGTCATGTTGAACTCGAGTTAAGTTAATTTTCGAATTGTGTAAATACACGGGGTCAACCATCTGTCTGTAACAATGTGAAAACTAATCAAGGAGAGTAAGATAAACATGATTACCAACCTTCACGAGTTTTTGGGCCTTTCTCTTCAAAACTTTTTATATCATCTCTAGATCACGTCCAAGATGTTACCTACTTGTGGGCAATCGAACCTATGGTGGCTGTGACAGAAAACGTACCCGAATCCGTAAGATAGATACGTATACTAATGAAAGTCAACTCTGGAAAAAAGTTATCACCAAGCGGTACGTAATACGCCTGTCACATGTTGGATGAGCAGTGGTTTGTATTGTTGGAATAGATGAAATATTTGTGAATAATTGATGTTAAATGGGAAATTCATCGACAACGAATATAACTCGAGATATCGACCGGACACCGTTTCAGCAATACTTTTCCGAGCTATCATGCTAATTATATTTCATATGAAATTCCATTCCAGGTTGAATATTACTAATATATCGAGCGGACATTGTTAAGGCAGTTGAATTAAGTGTTATAAACGGGCGCTGTGCACGGCAAACTTTACCTAATCTGAAACCTCAGTTTCGTATTTCTAACCGAAAATGAGGTATGTGAAAGTGAAAGCAGAAGTTAAATGCCACCACATATACGTCTGGTTGTAGCGGTATTTATATTATTTGAAAATATTTAGAAATAGGAGGTATATAGGGGTGGGTGTTGGAGAAAGAGATATTCCTATGTATTTCACAACTGAAGGAAACCAATTACTGTATGTATAACTTACTGTTTAGTCATCAAAATGTTCGTATCTTCATTGTCTTCCCTGATTTCCTTTATTGTTTAACAATAATTGTATTGAATTGTATTATTACAAAAACGACCATAAGCCATCGATAGCGGGTTCCTGAAGCCAACATCTAAAATAAAGCTTGTGTAATTACCTGTTACTGTCTTTTTAACAGTATTTATTATCACAGACAGGTATAAACATGTATTTTCTGTATCAGACTAGTTATACACATGAAGCTACTATCACACATGTTATAAGGTACATTTATTTATGTATTGTTTCAGATTCCTTATATACATGTATATATAGAAAGTGTTTATCCAGGGTTTTACCTGATGTATAGGAGGTGTATACCTGTTATATAGGGGGTGTATATCTGATGTATAGGAGGTGTATACCTGTTATATAGGGGGTGTATACCAGATGTATTGGAGATGTATACCTGATGTAAAGAAGGTGTATACCTTATGTATAGGAGGTGTATACCTGTTATATAGGGGGTGTATACCTGATGTAAAGAAGGTGTTAACCTGATGTAAAGAAGGTGTATACCTGATGTATAGGAGGTGTATACCTGTTATATAGGGGGTGTATATCTGATGTATAGGAGGTGTATACCTGATGTATTGGAGGTGTATACCTGATGTATAGGGGGTGTATACCTGATGTATGGGGGTGTATACCTCATGTATTGGAGGTGAATACCTGATGTATGAGAGGTGTATACCTGATGTATATAAGGTGGGGCAAAGAAGTAATTCCAATAGTGTGGACAAGTTTAGGTTTTCAATTTTCGGAGCGATCCGCTCCTTTTTCAAGACGCCGTGAAACAGAACAGTTACATGTACATATACAAAATATTACAAGAAGATGGAATTGATATACTATAATTGAAAATATAGCTATTATATAAAACCAATAGTCCCCTCGACTAAAGACAGCCGAAGGCAGCAATTAAGCTGAGAGCATCGCGGACAAGGAACGCTGATATAGTGGACCTATTCTTGCGCAAGATAATGCCGAAATACAAAATATGTGGTCTGTTTACAATAATCTATTCTTAGACACGGGATTCCGATTTGCTACCCGTATAAAAAATACCTGAGGACGCCTCGTCATAACAATACCTGTAAGGGCGGATTCATGTAGGCGCGAAACCCGTCATCCATCCATCCATCCATAGCAACTCGCCTTGTCTCTTTCTCCGGTTCAGTGGTTATGTAAAGGCGTACAACATATGAATTGGCTTCGCATTGCTGAATGACAGAATATAATTTAGTCGACACATTCTACGTAGCCGTGTCTGTTAAAATAGCAAAGATTTAATGATCTAGGAGGATAAATTCACACTGCTATTGACAATTTTTGTGTACAAAAAGGAACTATGTTTGTAAAAATACAGGATATTCTTAACAACTGACTCATTGTGAACGGAAATCCAAGGGAACTCTAACGAACAAGATACGAGGTACGTTTGTGTAGTCACTATACTTTACCACT